AATTCCAAAACAATATATTAAACAATGATTGTGAGTCAAAATCCAGAGAAAATGGATATTTCGTAATTGTTGAGTACTACACTTTTTCTATGGCTTCAACGTTGCTTGAGTAAATGGGGAAATCGTGGCCACTTTGGACATATTCAGTACATTCAGGGCCAGGTAAATCCTTTACATGCTGCCTTTTTTGTCGCAAATTACTGAATTTCATCGATAAAAGTGTTTGCAATCAAATAAAATGTAGTTAAAGATTTGTCAGTAACACATCGTTTTATAAAGGATCACGCACACTCCTTATGCAAAATGGCTCTTTGTCGAATCGCTTGAAATTTTATTATTTTGTTGAGCTCGATCTAATGATCAAAAGTCACCATAGGCACAAAAAAATTGTATGTATAGTTTTCGAAATACAAGGTGTCATAGCTGGAAAATGCCACTTTCAGACCAATATTAACTAGTTAATATCACACATAATTATCAGTAGAATTGAAAAAAACTAAACTGAGTCTATAGTTCTGATCTCAGACCAAACTTCCATATATATGTTATGAACTTTAAAGAATAACATACAGGATGAATCGTTATTATTATTTCATGCATTTTGTTAAAAAAATCACAATAACTCATTCAACTGTTTCTAGTTGAGGCCAGAATACACCGAAAATATTAGATTTATTATTTTATATAGAGCGATTCACAATTTTCGTTGCGATATATATTATTGTTTCGCAATGATTCGTTTTTTACATTTCAACAAAATTTTCACTTGAATCAGGTGAACATGTACAGAAACCAAAATCAGAAATGATCAACAGTGTGATTCAAATAACTCATATCTATTTATAGGATTTTGAAATATTTTTGTTACATTTCGCCCTGTATACTAAAATTTTGACTGTCAAATTCTTTTATATTTTAGCATTCCATAGTGAATGTAATTTGTGAATTTGAGTAAAAATTACAGAAAATTCGTATGTACCGTTTTCTATTTATAACCAGGCATATTCAAGTAGGCATATTTTTCAAGGATATTGAAAATGTGATTTCGCTCTCGGTAGATGAGAGACGACGACCCAATTTGCCTTATCCCACAATAATAAATCAAATCGAACGAGGTTATTCAAAATAAAAGCATAATTCATTATGTATACAAGGTGAGTTGAGAAAAAATCCTAAGACTTTACCTTGTTTCGGATTACAATTTTTCGACTTGAAGACAGTTTTTTGATATTATAATATAATTTCCAGGAGCTTGATCTCTCACATAGTTCAGATAATTTGCTCAAAATACAATTCAGCAACGCTCACACATTATCGTAAAGAACGATTTATTCATAAAAAATGTGGAAATACAAAGTGAACTGACAATATTGTTTATTTCATCTGTTGTATAAATCTGGTCTTCAAAAATGGGTTTCTCCATTAACCAGTGGTCGTCCTCTTAAAAACGGCAACCCTTAGAAGTTGAAACTAGCATGAGACGAGGATTAATGAGGTTTTACTTTTCAATATGGTTCATTGGAGTTCATAACATATATATGGAAGTTTGGTCTGAGATCAGAACTATAAACTCCATTTAGTTTTTTACAATTCTACCGATAATTGTGTGTGATATTAACGAGTTAATATTGGTTTGAGAGTGGCATTTTCCAGCTTTGACACCTTGTATTTCGAAAACTATCCATAGAATTTTTTGTGCCTATGGTGACTTTTGATCAGTAGATCGAGCACAACTAAATACTAAAATTTCAAGCGATTCGACAGAAAGCCACTTTGCAAGGAGTGTGCGTGGTCCTTTATTATAAATTTTACGTATACAGTGTGACTGAAATTCAGAGATGTGTTCTTCTTAAGTGTGTCACACTGTATATGTCAAAACAAAAGCAATATGGTTATGTTAGGTTAGGTGCAAAGTGTGTGGGTCTATTCAACCGTCCACCGTAACCCGTAAGGATTTATTGTGGCTCATACCTATTTACATTCGAGCAAATAAACCCAGCTTCTTAACGAAGCCGATTAGTTTGTATGGTGAGTTGTCTTTCAGGTCAGATGGTAAAAGTACGGCTCTGCTGAACTCTAAAAACCTGATTCCATCCCCAGCGGGGCAGGCACAAAGTATGTGCTCTGCTGTTTCATCATTTTCCAAATAGAGGTGATACACACTGTTTCGACAGTCCGAGTTTCTGCATATGATGATTCAAATGACAGTGACCTGTAAGAAGGCCTGTAAGACATCGTAGTTCATCCCTACTGTAGTCCAACAACTGTTTGGTATCAAGCCTTGGAGTGAGCCAATCCTGGAAGATTGCTTGCAGCACCCTTCTCTGCAAGGGAGTCAGCAGTCATTGCTTTCCAGGCCAGGTTGGCCAGAAATCCAAACCAGAGACAATCTCTTAAGTCTTTCTAACGAAGAGAGTCGTTTCTGGCAATTTGCTACCAATTTAGACGTTGCTCGGTAGGAGCCAAGAGCTTCCAATGCCGCTTGACTGTCCGAGAATATTTTTATTGGCTTGTGTATGAGGTTGGATTTATCCAATCTCTCCGCACACAAATCAATAGCGTAAATTTCCGCTTGAAATACAGTCGCATAGGTTCCTAGTCAGGTTGATATCTCTGCCCTGAGTTTGCGACTAAAAACACCTGCACCAGAACCGGAAGGTGTTTTTGATCCATCTGGGAACCAACAACTATCTGCTCTTGATATTTCCTTCTCCCGGAGGATCCAGTCCTCTATACTTGGCAGTTATAAGGCAGTTCGTAGTTGACAATTGGAGGCATAAAGTCAGAGGTAATTCACAGAATGCTGTGACTTCCAGTTTCAACCAACAGTCTGTTGCACTCTGCATTAAATTGCTTTGTGCAATTGGCAATGTGCACAAGTCTAAATGCCTCTCTCTCCAGAAAAATGTGGAAAGGAGGTAGATCTAGAAGGATCTCCATGGCCGCTGACGGTGTGATCACTGGTTTGAAAATCATTAAATGAAGCCAGTGGATTTGTTTGGGACTTAAACCCCAAGTTTTACCACAAATCCTTCGACATGTCCAAAGGGACAGTCTGGCTTTGTGTAAAACTTTTTCCAAGTGAGCGTTCCAGGTGAGTTTCTTATCAAGGACAATGCCCAGATATTTCAACTCCGTTCCAAATGGAACGACCTCATCATTGAGGGAAAGTAGCGTTAGATCGTCCAGTTTTCTCCACCCGCTGAAGGGGATTATCACAGTTTTGCTGGGATTGACAGACGTCTGCTTCCTCAGGCACCAACTGTGAACAACAAAAAACAATATGAGTTTCAAATGAAAATATACTCCTTCTGAATGAAGTTTCGGGAACCACTCCTACCTCTTTCTTGAAATCATGAAAAAACTCACACCGGAGAATAGATCAACCTATCTACCTACAACTGACACTAAAAGGACTACTTCGGGACAATGAAAATCATACAGCCGGGATTTTGTTCTCATTATTGCAATCTATCAAACCAGTAAATTAAAACTCACTCTGTAATGTGTTTTCAGCTGACGCCCATCGGGACGACCATATTCCAGAACATCGTCGCCAAAGACAAAGACACCGGAGTCAATGGACTGGTGGAATACTCCATAGTGAAAGGTAATATGAATCGCGTTCTGGTCTTTCTTAACTACCGCATATTTCGTGATGGGATGAATTAGTCATGGAGGTATGTTTGCGGATGTGAATGGAAATAGAAAATTTGTCACGGTTGCTTTACGTTTGCCGAGAAAGAACGAGTCTTCTCATTGATTTTGTTGTTTTTTCGTGAGGTGAACGATAAGGGGTTGTTATTTTTTAGAGAATGAAATTTATAGAAAGAAGAAAAAACATTTAGAATTTCAATTATCTAAAACGATGTTGACAGTTTTGGAATCTATGACGGGGACGAATATTATATAATGCCATACCCGACAATGTTGAATCTTTGACTTGGAAAAAGAGAAAAATTGGGAAAAAATTAAAAAACAATGGATATAAAATAAAACAAACGATGAGAACGACGTTAATTTGCAAAACAAAACAATGTTTTGGCCTGAAATTAATGAATAATAAACGGGTTATTATTAAGTGAAACATCAATTTTATGCCAACAATTAAAATGGAATAAATAATCAAGATGAATAATGAAAAAATCGAAAATATGAAATAACAGATTCCAAACTATGTTTTTCTTGATTCGGCCTGACTTTTGATTCAATTTCAATTGTTTGCATATAATAGAACATTTCAGAACGAATATCGAACAAGATATCTATCAAATACTATTCAATCAAAGATCAAACATCATTGAAGACGAATAATGAAAACGGTGAACTAATGAAAAAGAAGATTTCAAACCACGCTTATTTTGATTTGGCATTTTCCATTTTAATTTTATTGTTTGCATATAGCTGACAGATCACTTATAGCTGAACAAGCTCTTGAATTCATTTCTATTTCAGAACGTATATCAATCAACGATCAAATATCAATCAAGGTAAATAATAAAAAGTGTAAAAAAATATATCACATCACATGCGGTTGAGTTGAAAAACAGCTTAACATAAAACGATAAATAAAAAAGTTTCCCATTTGATGCGGACTTTATCGGTGACACTGTATATTAAAATATCTATGAAAGTTGTGATGAACACGTGAATAAAACAATAATTAAAACAAGAACAAGGAGAAGAGTGATAACTAAGAATGGCAGAATTACGAGTTGTCTTCAGTTCAGTTTGCTTCGAAAGGAGATATTGTGAATATATAAAAAATGGGTTTTAAAATGTTCATTGATTTCAAGGTCATTCAGTTACAAAACATATCGAGCCTCAACGGAAACAAGTTTTTTTCTGTCACAAGATTCGTACAAACTGTCGAACCTGTAAACTCCCCGTCACATTGTTTCTAGTTTTACGTTTACTGTTTTGACAAGTGACAAGTTAGCTGTTCCATGTTAGTTTGGATTTGAATGTCCTTGAAAACGAATTTCTCAATTTTTTTATGAATAAAAGGGATTAATTAGACTCTTCTATTGAGAACTTGTGTAATTCAATGTTTATATGAAAGTAGCTGTTTCACGGGAGTTTTTTCTTCCAGTTTGTGTCTGAATGTTACTTCTTTGCATGACTTACACATCTTTGACGAGATGTGTAGGTTGAAACTAATTGCCTAAGCGAGATTGATGGCCTCATATATCATTTCGCGACCTTTTTCTGCTGAGAATCATTGGTGTCATCTAGTTTAGTTCTTTGAAGAATGTTCAACCCGAAAAAAATCATTCATTTTTCAGCTTAAATCAGTATAGACCAAATTTTCTTGAAAGTTCAGTAAAATTACATCTGGCAACACCGAACAGCGTCAATTATCGCTTTGCGATATCATAATATCGTAGGATTTTTCGCCACGCTGGCATCGAGACTGTCCTCCGGTACTTTTGAACGACAAAAAAAGAAGTACCGAGGTGTAAAGTAGGTGGGAACCGAACATAAAAAATTCCGAGAGATCTAGATCACAAATATAATATGGTCACAATCTGGCACCGGTGATAATGACTCACAGTGGCAACATGGGCGTACTCGGGCTAAATCCGTGTCCTACTGTGGATACTTCATTTCCATAACTCGATTGGGCAATTTAGTTTTCGACCGAAAATGAAAAAGGTACAACCTTTGCCAGCAAGTTTGTTCCATTTGGAAGATTTGTGATATTCTTAATCACGAACACTGTAGAATATGGCAAATCCCTAAGGTAAAACAACTACTTCCCCGACTAGTACCACGACGGACACTTTATCATATCATACAGACATTCATGCAAGTTACCTTACGTGGTTAGTCTCGCAGGTGCTTTTCGTTCATCTAGCAGCAAGTCCTCATTGAAATGAATCGAGTAGATCACTTACAGACCGGTTGCAAGGAAGTACCTTTCATTAATGCAGCAGTATGCCTGAAACTCGAAAAATTTCATCATGGATCGTCTGCTTTTGACCCGTTTGAGGTTTTGTTTACGATTAAATTGTTCGAGTCCCACGGCAAATTGCTGTTTTGGTTGGATCTGTCCTGTACTGATGAGAGGTATCACATCGAAACCTGTCTGTTGGTGATCTTCCCGATTGATTTCTCACTTCGAACGAATGCCACACTTGCAAAAGATATAGCGTACAGGTCGTATACTATCCATATGAAGTATGAGATTTATATTTGGATGGAATGGTGGCACTCATTGAAAACTGTATTCGAAGTACATAAAGATAGTGACGCTACCGAATCAGTATAATCATGAACGTTATATGTTTTTAGAAACAAATAAAAAATTCTCGAGGTTATGTGAGTTTTTATCAACGATGGGATCATCATCGTTGAAAACTTCAAGGTTGATCATTCTTTCAAAGATGAAGATGCAGACAAGTGATTGTGAATATTGAAAATTTTATTGCTGCTGTAATTAAAATATAATATCGTGTTTGTTTGAAAGTGAAAATGAATAGCTAAAAATAACAATTATATCAAGTGATGAACCTTGAAATGGGATTACAATAAAATAGAAGTAAGAAAAAAACTGAAAATTTGAAAAAACCGAAGTAACTTCGTTTGAAATCTTTTTAATTTTTCATTTCATTTATTGATTCCTCAATTTTCAATTTTTTGCCTATTTCCACAGCAAAGCAGTCAAATTATTTATGAACA